CTCCCGTTGCGGAGCACAGGCTCCGGACGCGCAGGCCCAGCGGCCATGGCCCACGGGCCCAGCCGCTCCGCAGCATTTGGGATCTTCCCGGCCCGGGGCACGAACCCGTGTCCCCTGCATCGGCAGGCGGACTCCCAACCACTGCGCCACCAGGGAAGCCCCCTCAGCCTGCCTTTTATCTGCAGAAAAACTTTAGCCAAACAGTAAGTTTAATCAGAGAAGTGAGAAAATGCAGAAACAAAGGAAAACAGCCCAACATGACTAAATAATAATAGTTTAGGCATTAAGCACAGTCAAGGACCTTTTTAGTTCCTCCTCAAGGGCTGCAGATAATATTCTGAGCCATATCCTGTGAGCTGTCTTATAGCTACTGAAACCGCCACCAGGTGGAAGAAATTAACTACATGATGACCAGACTGTGGCCATGACATAAGCTGCCACATATGTGAGAATTGGCCTTAAAGAAATGGGAACAAACCGACCCTGGAAGTAAAGACTAACTGTACTTAATAATCAAGATGATGCTGGTCAGACCACCGCATGACCAATTTCAAGAAGACTGTCAGAGCTGCCTGTACTGTTTCTGCGTGTAGCGCCCCCTCGGCCTTTTAAAGCTCTTGCCCACTGGTTGTCAGGGAGGGGAGTCGGCCTTTGGACAAAAATCGCCCCCCCCAACCCTCCCACCCCCCAGTTGCTGGCATCCAGCGGAATAAAGCAAACTTTCCTTTCCACCAAACTTGCCTCTTTATTGGCTTTAGAGGGGCGAGCAGCCGGACCCCACTTTTGGTAACACCTGGATACCTAAGAGCTCCTGGTGGGTAGCAGAACTTGTTCCAAAGAAGGTTCTTTATGCATCAGACCAACCTTACCATTTGCATCTGAAAGGCGGCTTGCCTGCCTTCTGATCCATGGAACTGCGTCTCCTTCCTGCCCCAGCCAACAGTGATGAACTTGCCTAGAGAACAAGTGAGTGAGAATATGCAAGACAACCAATAAGCTAAATAAAATAAAAGCAGTTTCATAGCTATTCTTCATGAAGTTGGGTCCTCTGAGACCTCTCAATAGATTGACCAGCAGTCAATATTTTAAAAACCTATGTTCCATATTATATACTGAAGTCATTCTGAAGACTCTGAAATGCCCTTATTTTGGAAAGAGCTTTACTGCCATTGTATATAAATTCCCTTGATGACAGTCAGCAATCCATCCCCACTTTACAAGGAGAATGAAACATGAAGAATCTATGCAATACGTCCACAGATAACAAAACATAAAACTCAAGAAGACAAGAGCTGGGAATAAAATTCCAATCGTAAGTTCAATCCACTAAATGTATCCAACGTCCCTGCTAGTGTTGGAGGAGACCATGATTATGGAATCCAAGCCCTCACAGAGACTGACACACCCTAGTGACAGAGGCCAAAATTAGAACACAGGGCTTCTGCCTTCCAGGCTGGGCTTCTTTCTAAATTATAATGCTGATCTTACATAAAATATAAAGTCAGTTGCTGAAATAATGCAGCCTCCTCTTCCTGAAGGTAGGATCTGGCATCCACCTATAAGAGGTACTACAGAGATGCCCCTGAAAGCATCAGCCAGATCCAGGACCCAATATTTCCCTCCTACAACTGATGCTGATTCTGACGAAGCAGAGCTGTTTATAATTTCTATAAATTATGGGTCAGCATGACCGTTTCCTGTCTGCTCTGCTTGGGCACACCCAAGTATTGCAGTATCCCAAAGCATACCTTGCTGCTGTATACAAATAGTAGTGCCTATCCTGGTGCACACCCCTGGGCTTCTATCCGAAAGTTTCCACAGAGAGATAAAGAAAGGGTCAAGGAGCGAAGCAAGACAACTTTTCCAGTGGGATCAGATGATAAGTGGTGGAGTTATAGCATGGAATCAGCAAACTACAGCCTGCATTTGCTTTTACATATAAATTTTTATTGGAACCCAGCCATACCCATTTCTTTATGTACTATCTTAAGCGCTTTCACACTACATCAGCAGAGTTGAGTAGCTGCAACAGACCATATGGCCTGAAAGCGGAGAACAATTACTATCCAGCTCTTTACAGAACAAGTTTGTCGACACCTGGGTTAGAAGAAAAGTATCTATTCACCGCTCCACAGAGTGACTTTTTGTACTGACAAATACATTTCTAAGACACTGACTTGGACTCCCTCTCCTTTGATCTACTCTATTAGATTTCTTATGAAAAAGTTGGTGGGATGAGCCAGGCCCAGAGCACTTTCCCATGCAAAGATGTGTTGGTTACTACCTCTATGACGATCCTCAAAGCTGGATGCCCCAGAGTCCCACCCTGGGCCCTAGATCCAGCACCATACCTGCTCCCTGAGCAAGCACATCTAATCCCAAGATTGTAAAGATTCCCCACATGCCAATGACTCCCAGTCCACGGCTCTAGCCTCTCCTGAGCTTCAGCCCCTTCTACTCACCTGCTTTACTTGGTGATCCCATATGGCCCTTAAACAAATCCAAGAAGGAACTCATCACCCATCCCTTACAGACCAGCACTTCCCCACCTTCCCTCTCAGACACTGACATCTTTATTTCCACCACCTGAGCTTCTGGCTAGAGTCCTACTAAACTTTCTTCTTCACCTTACATACCCAAAGCCTATTTATTTCACCTTCTAAACTGATATTTCTCAAACTAGCTAGGGCAGGAGGGGAACCATGCACACATATTCCAAAAAAGTTTCTCATAATTCCAAAAAATGTACTCCTATCCTCGTTGAGAATCAAAATTTTCCTGCATTTTTCCCTTTTCTAGTCCCACACCCACCTTCTTTATCTCTCATGTGGATTCCTGTAGCAACCTCCTACCAGATCACCCTGTCTCGTCTCTTCCCTCTCCACCAATCAATCTTGCATCATCAGAACCTTTAATGACTAATCTCCTGTAACTTCATGTCCAAACTCCCTATCAAACTTAATCAAAATCCCTCCCCTTTATTTCATTCCACATCCATGTCCTGTCACTAGGTAATGCTGAAGTACTCACAGTTGCCTGAATAAATCATGCTGTGTCAAAGGCTTCTATGAAATATCCCTGCCTTGGAATGAACTAATTCACTTGCTTGGACCACTCCCCCACCCTCAACCCTCATCTACCCAACGCCAAGTCAGCCAAAACTCAGCTCAAGTCGGCCTCCTCTGGGAAGCCTTCCATCCCCATTACTCCCTTTCTCTCCTTATGCTACCCTAATACCTGCACATCCTGTCATTATTGACTCCTTAAGGGAAAAGATGAATTAGCCACAGCACCAAACACACTACTGGGTTCACACTACCTACTCGAACATTATTTCCGAACAAATTATTTTTGAATGAAGAAATGAGTAGCATTTTTCTAAATGATTTCTTAGTAGAGCGACAAGTCATGAGGTTAGACCTCAGCGAAAGTTAAGATACCATCTCCCCCATCCTCCTCCTCAATCAGGCCAGCTACCTGTGCCCTGAAGTTGGCCAGAGCTTCTCACACTCAATAAGCATCTCCACTCTTCTCCTCTTCAGTACTTCCACAGCCTAATGCCCGTATCACCTCAGCTGGATCTTAGCAAGAAAACAATATGATGGGCCCCATGAAAATTCAGGTCTAATCAGTAGGAACAAAAATCAGCTCTCTATCCTGCCTCTCTTGTCTTCTCCCCAAAACTGTACCTCAGAAATGCTCTCCTTATTCTAGCTAGTACAGTCCTTTCCATTAAACCCCCTGACTAAGCCTGTCCTGGGGTTTGGGCAACAACTACCCGGGTGATTCTAAGCACAGATTCCTATTCCCCAAATTATTGACAAAGCCAGCTCTCAGACTTGGAGAGGCACCAAAGGTATGCCTTTTAAAATCTGGAATGAACTAAAGGAATTGGGCTATCTGTCAGTGAATTAAGTTGGGGTTTAAGCTTCATAGTTCTTTGGGCTTATTATGATGTGGCTATCAGTGTGCAAGACAAGTCACAAAATGGTTCAAACAAAGCTATACTTACTTTCACCAAAATCATCCTGGTGGATTTGCTGTTCCATGATTGGTTCAAACTCTTTTGTCATCATAATTAGGGTCTGTTGACCTTGGAGGAGCACAAACAAGAATGATTTTGTTCTCATTTAGCATATCTGCCATTCCGTAAGTATCTACAGCACTGGAAGCTACTGAGCTGGAGTGGAGGAGCTTATAGTCAAAACAGGGAAGACAGAATTTATTCAAAATGTTCTGACTCTCATTTTTAAAAAAAAGTATTGACTGGGTAATTCACCTAGTACTTATTCTCAGCTATTTATGTATGTCAAGCTAACATTAAAGTCCACACAGCCCTCTTCCACTAACTTCAACGATTTAGTCAGCAAGATATCTCTTCAAATGTATACCTCATCAGGGTGCTAGTTTGCAGAAACTCATCTGGAATGAAAAGACTTAAGGAAAAAAAAATAGGACTGGGAGAGCAGTTCTTAGAATCAGTTTATTTTATGTAGCAACTCTTCCTCTTAGAGTAGGTTAAATATTGTTGACATTTTAAACCATAGCTATGGACCTTGGCAGCAACTTTTTAAAGCAATACATTAAGAAGTAAAACTTAACTCAAAAACACCACATTCCCTATAGATTATCATGTTGGTATCCTTGTTCCAAGAAATGGTTTTTTTTGAAACTGAAGCACCCTAAAACTTAAGCCTGTGAGATATTAGGAGTCACGTTATATAAAAGTCAAGAATTAGGGACCAGTAGTGACAGGCTTACCTGTGGCAAGAAGCACCAACTCTTGGTCAGGACTCCAACTCATGACAGAGATACCACTGGCTACACTCCCGACACATTCCAGCTGAGAGAGACATTTTAAAATGTTAAGGGAGATATGAAAATATAAGCATCTCTGTAAATATTTACTATGACCTTAATCAAAACAATTAACAAAACACACAAAGGTGAAATTATTCAGTGAACATTTATTCAGTAACAGGTATTAAAAGACCAGTCATGATACAGACCATAGGGACTGGAAGTAACTATGGCCACTCCATTCCTCCTGTTAAGGAGATAAAAGATGCCTCTACAGCAGGGTTAGGGATGTAACCGAGGTCTCTGGGAATTAAGTGGGGGCTCAGGACAGAGACTGACAAGTGGCCCAGGACAGTCCAGGAAAGCTTCTCGGAGGAGGTGCTTTGAAGGGTAGGAATAGGGCCAGGAGGAAGAGACTGGGGGGGGAATGTGCAGTTAAAAAGAGCACTTAAAAATCAGCTGCAACTATAGAGCCTAAGGTATACATATACACAGGAATGGTGGGGGTGGGAGGTGAGGCTAAAAAGGAATTTGGGGAACAGTGGGAGGTCTTATACGGCACAATAAGGAATATGGATTGTGTCTTGCAGACACTGTGATGCCACAAATGTGGAGGATCAGCACCGTCTGGCGGAGACCAATGGATTGGAGGAGCTCAGTAATTAGGAAGACGTTCTACAAAATGTTTTGAAAGTAAAAGCATACCTTTAAAATGTGAGAAATACTAAGTAAGTTATACTTGACGGCTTTGATATTTCTCACCATGAACTGAGAATAAGATTTATTGTTTTACTAAGTGGAACCGTTAAAAGCAAAGGTGCCAGATTTAGACTGCCAGGGTTTAAATCTCACCTGATAACTGTTTGACCTTAGCCTAGTCATTGAAGCCCTCTGTGCCTCAATTTCCTCTTTTGAAGAACGGAAAAACAACAATCTACATCATAAGGTTGTAGTGAAGATTAAATACAATTCTGCATGAAAAACACTTGAAAAAGTACCTGGCACACTGTAAACATTTAATAAATGTCAGCTATTATTATCCTATGATTAGTAATATGACTTGTGATACATCCACGTTAAAGAGATCACAACTAAGGGAGTAATCAACAAAGTTTAAAAAGCTGTCAAGAAGGTGAGGATAGAAATCCAGAAACTAAGCCTTATGCTAAGTAGAGGAGGAGGCAAATGGTTGAAATCTATCTTCTCTGGTAGTCATAAGATGTGCACATAATGATAGCATATCACCTTAGCACCTGTAGTTCAGGGATTCTTAAAGTTAGCCATCAAGGAGAGGCTTATTCAGCATTCATAAAAGAAAACATAAGCCATATAAACATTTCAAAGACTTCATAAATTGAGAAATAAAGGTTACAACTCAGGATCAGATATACCATACAAGAATGGCCAGATTTGGGTTTTTGTTAAGTTTTATTTGGAATGTTCTGATTGTTCTAATTAATAAATGCAATAGACAAAACTGAGTTTTAGAAGAATCCTGAAATATAGCTAAAGCCATGCCAACAATTTTCTGTAAAGAATTATATAATGCAAAGACTTTAATTTGCAAAATGCTTAAATATTATGGCTCCTGACATTTTAAACTTCTACAAAAAACCAGTGACATGAAACAAAAAAAGGCGTTTGAGGATGTCTAAGATTTCCTCCTCACTGATCTCTTCCACTTACCTGGTGTGTGTTAAGATTGCAAAGTAGGACATCTCCAGAAGCTGTGGCCACACACACAGACTCGTGATCCAGCAACTCCTGAATACCAACAATGCAGCCACTTCCATCCTCTGGGAGAAAGCCTTCTGCCACCAGAGGAATTTCATTTTTCACCTTTCACCAAAACAAACAAATAAGCAAATTAAGTCAATCTACTTTCAAGAACAATTCATCACACTTCCAGAAATACTTTTTCATGTTTCTTTTATAATGTAAAAGCTTTCAAAAATGTTTTTTTCCTAGATTAAAACCCAAACTTTCATTTGAGAAATTTCACAGCACTACCATCGTTAACACAAAACACAGTTCATGTGACCTTTGTGCCAAGCAAACATAAAAGCCTGGTATCTTTGAAAGTATCCAATAAAACGTGAAGCTAATAACTAGGATTTTCTAAAATGTATACAGTATGGGGAAAAGGGACTAAGAATGCAATCACCTAAAATACATTAGTAGCAGAATATAATTAAGGGAGGGTGTCAGAATCAACCTAAAGAGCTTTTCAATATACATACGCTCAAGCTCCAGAAGTGAAGATTCTGATGTAGTTGGCATGAGATGGAGACTGAAAAAATTTAAAAAGCCCTACAGGCAATTTTCACCTGCATTCCCACTTGAGAACTGTTAACAGATAGTATTTACATGGTAGAAAGGGTAAAAAGTAGGGCACCCCACAAAATACAATGTCAAAGCTTTGCCAGCTTAGATTAAAACAGAAGCAGACTAAAAGACAGGGTACTAGTTATGTCTAATATGACATCAGTATAAAGCAAAGGGAGTATTCATTTGGGGGGGACGTAAATTCAGAAAGACTTAAAGGAAAGACTATTTGGGGAAGCAAGTTTGGAAAAAGACATGTCAAGAGACATGCCAAGTGCTAGCACCCTCCATCAATAACTTACCTCTCTTGTGACAGGGTCTACTTCTATCAGTCCACGTTCTGAGCCAATGAGCACTGTGTCCTGTTCAGTTCGGAGAGAGAAGCACTGAGGTTTCCCTGGAGCCTGAATATCCCTGAACTCCAAGCTGCGAAATAACTTTAGATTTCTCATGATGAAGCGACTCCTGAAAGAAAAGTACAAATATCTCTTGATGAAACTTTAATTTCTCTGAGAAACAGAAACAGCTTAGTAGCGATAAATCACACTCCAATATAAGCAAAATGATTCAGGGAGCAGAGAAGTTAGAATAACCAAGAAAAAAAAGATCTAATCTGAACCCACACAGAGATGAGTGGTAGCAACCTAACCAACTGTGTAAATCTATGGTCTACAAATTGAGGCTGTGAAATCTATTTTACGTTCTCACTCTTTGAAAGAGGCAAGATTCTCAACTTCAGAGTTTTTTCTTCAAAAAAGATTTAACATCAGTTATTCTGAAGGAAAGTTGAGAAGAATGCAATGAATGAGAAAACATTTTATTTTGCACATGAGGATATAACTTGACAGATTTACAAAATAATATAAAAATCCACATATATACTGGCAGTTGAAGAAAATAAAATTAATATCACCAACTACATTTATTTATAAACTGGCTCTATATCTTCATTAAAAAATTAAAATTGAAATCAAACATAGAAATAAAGAAAAGCAGTTATGAGACTTCCCTGGTGGTACAGTGGTTAAGACTCTGCGCTCCCAATGCAGGGAGCCCGGGTTCGATCCCTGGTCAGGGAACTAGATCCCACATGCATGTCGCAACTAAGAGTTTGCATGCCACAACTAAGGAGCCCATGTGCCGCAACTAAGGAGCCTGCCTGCTGCAACTAAGGAGCCCAAGTGCCACAACTAAGACCCAGCACAACCAAGTAAATAAATAAATATTATTTTTTTAAAAAAGAAAAGCATTTATTGTTCTCAGGGACAAAAGAAGACACTATGAAATTACAACAGTATACTTCAAAACGATGACCAACAATTCGAGGAGCTTCATAACCTGATATAACTACTTCACATTACTCCACTTTCCTGGCCTGATTTTCACCAGGGCAATAAAAAAGCTGAGAAAAGAACGATCAATAGGAAATCTACCTTGGTCTGACAAAATCAGACTTGTTTTAACGTATAACATTACCTAAGAGGAAAAAAAGTTAATGTGCTGTATATTTATATCCAGACCTCTTTAAGGTTTATACTGTAATTGGAAGTCCCTAACTTATATTAGGGGTGACAATTACACAGACCACACTGGCCTTCTTGTCACCTTAATCCAAGGTGAATTCTCTCATCTTGCATTTCCTACTTATGACAATGAAAGAATAAACATGAATTAATCCTTATACTACATAGCAGATAAAATGTTAAGTGTAGTATGAGTGAGACAACATAAAATGTGGGTTAAGAGGAAGGCAAGCCCACACAGTGGAAGTGAGGAAGAGAATCATGGCAAACAATGGTTTTGTGCGCTTTCATGACAGTTATAGTCAAGAACTTCTAGAAATTATTCGAACCTGTATTATACCATGCAGACTTTTTATTTAGATCTAATTCTATATAGAAAGCTTGGGTTTTTGAAAGCATATAAAAATTACATTACCTTTCATCTTTAAATAACATTAAGACGAGCACTGACATAGATCTGAAAGGATGGGTGGATTTGAGATGAGAGGATGTCTGGCTAGAGGGGAGTAAACACAGGACAGAGCAGCAAGAGGTGAAAACAGGCGACAGAGGACCAGATGTATTTCAACCTAGTTTAGCTAATAATAATTAGGTTGTGATTGTTGCCATGATCAGAGCATCAAAATGTCTCCCTGTGAACTTGGATTCTATTCACCAACAATCCGTGGAGCTCTGGGGTCCGTGAACCCCAGCATAAGAATTTGGAAGGCAAAGGCAGAAGGAGCTGAGGAGGACTCCCTTTTTCCTGTTACCTTGCTGTTTCAGTCAATGTCACCCCAACAATGGGCCTTCATCCTTCCAGGGGCCCTTGGTCCCAGCCTCTGGCACTCCCATGACTAGCATGATAACAACCACCCCAGAGGTACCAGCACTAACCAGGCAGGTACTCCCTCCAGGTGCCTGAAATCTAGTAACATGGAGATCCTCCTCTGAATTCCAGAGCTATCAACACCAGCTTTCCAATGCCTCTCCTCCCAGGTCATGATAACCCCAATGGCTTCCCTTGTTTTGATCCTCAGACCTAGCTAAGTGTTGTAACTGCTTTCAGCAGTTTACTTTTTTAATTACTTCACTGCTCCCTTTTGCTTTTTGTTCCTCCATCAGGTATTTAACCAATTCTTCGTATTAAATTCTGTTGAAATACTGTGTGGTTTCTACTTCCCTGACTGGACCCTAACTGACAAACATATCAAACAGCCTGAGTTCTCAAATCACTGAGCTTTCAAAATCACCGGCCAAGTGTCATAAGGAAGAACCTTTTGTATTCTATTACAAGTTAATCACTAAAGGGATGCAGCCTATAAGCTAAAATTATACATAATGACCCAACTCGCAGAACCCTGACACCCAGGTAATGAGCATTAAGCTAAAATACTTTTATTTAGCTCACAAGAAACATCCTGACCAGGCCCACCTGTGAATGCCTGCAGGGAGGAAGAAATTAACACATCCCCTCTGGAGGCTGATGGGAACCAGGAAATGTTTGACTTTACTCCCTCCCCTTTTAGTATAAAAGAAGCCTTAATTCTAACTCAGGCAAGATGGGTCTTTGGGGGCACGAGCCCACCATCTTGGTTTGCTGGCTTTCCGAATAAAGTCGTTATTCCTTGCCCCAACACCTCGTCTCTCGATTATTGGCTTGTAGTGTGGTGAGCAGTACGAGCTTAGGCTTGGTGACACAAGGGCAGCTCATCATTCATCTCCCTCCTCCCCAGCCCTTCCAGCCTCAAAATGAACTTTTCTAAAACTTCACACCTATCAGCCTTATTCCCTTACCTTCTCAGAAGTGTCCTACTCTTTTTCAAGACCAGCAAAGGAGAACCCTCCAAACTCCCCCAGGACCTTGGCTTATTGGTACCCTTTCTTTTACATCTGCAATCTCCAACTCCCCTGCCCTGAAATGACTCATCCTTTCTCAGCCCTTAAATGTGCTAAAGATCTCTCCACACCACAGATCAATTCTGGATCCTCTCTGAAATTTCCAACAACTCCTCTATTTTCTTCCCTTGCTCCTTCATCCATCCACCTCTTGGCTAATTATCATGCCCATGACCACAAGTACCAAACAGATCACTAATATGCTTAGTAGCTCTGAACGTCCAGCCCTGACCCTCCCTAAACTGAACACTCAACTCACATTTTCAACCTCCTGCTCTTACCATAAGGATTTCTCAAAAAGCACATCAAATGCAGCCTGTTAAATGAAGTACCTGCTATTCTCCACCAAACTAGTTTCCCCTCTGGGGACAAGGCATTCCTACTTTCTCTGTCCTCCAAGCTGAAACTGTGTCTGCTTCCCTTTTGCCCACACTTTCACAGTAAACTATTCACTGGTTACTGCCCTGTCTGTCAGTGTTCAGTTTGAATCCTTTTACACAGTACCGTAATCCTACGATCCGGTTTGTGGCCTACATCATATACCGACGGAGCACTTGCTAAGTGCTAGTTCTGGACAAGAGATGACTGACAGTTACTGCCTCCTCAGAGGTCACAGCTTAACGGGGGAGAGGGCCACATAAGATACCACGTTACATGGAGATGCACAGGGACAATACCTCCAAGGAAAAGTTGCAGATGCGAGAAGGGACTCGCAGCACAGCACCTGAACTTCTATTACCGTCAGCTTCTATCATGCATTGTTGCGCTTTAATCGGTGCATTACTTGGGTCGGTGGTATAGTCCGCAACTGCAAGGAATCCGAAGACTGGGTAAGTGTGCAGGCTGGGGGAGCAGCATATCATTCCCTCTCCTGCCGCGCCGCGCAGAGCCCTCTGATGGCCCCGGGTGCAGCAGGCGGCGAATCTGCAGAAAGAGAACTCAAGGAGGGCAGAGGTGGTCAAGCCGCACTTCACTCCCTGACCAGCAGCAGGCAGCAGTTGGGCGCTAGAGGGTCCCCTTCATCAGGGCACCCTCTGGTAGACAGGGCCCGTTTCCATGCCCCCACCCCAGCTAGGCCGCTCGAACGCTCACCTATGTCGCGCTCTGAGGAAACGCAAACAGCGGTGCGTCCGCCCAGGGCTGCGCACGGGCCTCTCCCTGACCGTGCTTCTGAGCTCTCACGACGCGCACTGGACCTCTGGGCCGCCAGGCCGCTCGAGCCCCTCCGGTCGTGGCTGAAGCCAGGCGGAGGGGCGTGCTGCGAAGCATGTACTAGCAAGCGAAGAGAGCCCGACACACGCCGAGCGGCGGCGGAGTGACGTCGTGAGGCGGAGGGGGCGCGGCCTGCCTTCTCCCTCTCCCCGCAAAGATATATGTGGAGCTGCGCTGGCCACCGCCCCCTATCCCTACATCCTCCTTCCCAGCCTATTGTATTTGATCCCCGCCTTGACGTCAGACGCCAAAGCTCAGTTAAGTGGGGCCGGTGGGTGGAGCCTGCGGAGACTCGGGAGCAGCGCGCCTGCGGAGCGCGCGTGCGCACAGCGCGTGTCTCGGCTGCACGCCGGAAAGACACCTTCCTCCGTGGCAAGCGGGAGGAAGAGTACAGGTCCCAGGGGGCGGGGTTTGCAGAACCCAAGGTCTCCATGGCTACCGAGCCCGAGACCCCTGTGGCCGCCTCCGCTGCGGAGCCCGCGGTGCCGTCGCTTGTGGATCGCTACTTCACTCGCTGGTACAAAGCGGGTAAGTGGAGAATGATGTCAGTCTCTTCTGGGCCCAATTTGTCTGGCAGTATAGGGACTATGATGAGAGATCATAAGCCACACGCACCTTCCGCAGCGCTTCCTCCCCACGTCAGAAGGAACTGGATCTCTCTGTTCCTCTGCAGGCCAAGGGAATGGCATTTGCAAGGACGTGGAAAACAGCAGGGTGCATTCTGGGTAGGGCGAGCGCAGTGCGAGTTCACGAGGGTGGGTTGCTTGCGGGAAGATGGTGGACTAAGGTGAGATCCCCGAGGGAGGCAGGAGCTGGATTGCAATCTCTTTGAGTGCCTAAAGGGATTTGAGGGGCTCAGTCCTCCAAGAAGAGGCGATACATAAAATGATTTAAATGGTAGCGGTCTAAACTAAGGTAGAGGCATAGGATGGAGAGGAGAGGGTGGGTTAGAATAGAGGCATTTAGAAAGCAGAATCTAACAGTTTTACTTAAAGGAAGTCGCTGGTATTACACATTTGCCACTTAGAAGTAGGTATCCTGTTGTACAGCTTTGTGTACCCAGCAAATATCAGTGATGAGAGTATCGTTGGGGACCCTCCTCTAACCCAACTTGCTCCCATTCATTTAGGGATAATAGGTGTACTCATCTTTTACAATACTGAAATATTTTACAATAGCATACATTTTATTAGCCAGACTTAGTGTAACCAACTGTCCGGTTAACCCTGGATTGAGGTGTTTTCGGGAATCCATTACTTTCACCGCTAACATCAGGACAGTCCTGGGCGAACCAGAGTGAGTTAAGTCTCTCTAAAATTGACCAACAAACCATGCTACTAAATTAAATAAAGAATACATTACTAATCACTTTTTTTCTAATAGAAATGATTGTACTCATTTTAAAGTGAGGATAAAAAAGGTGGAGCAAAGAGTTAATCATCATTTTAACATTGAATGAATGATTCCATCTGGACCAGATGTCTTTAAATACTTTATGGTCAGCCTTTAGGTATATCTTTTTGAGTAATGAAGGGATACCAGTGATGTATGTGTCCCGCCTTCATAGTTAACTACCTCTATGAACCAAAGAAAGTACTACACAGTGATAGTAAATATTGACTCAACAGCCATCAGACTCATTCATTTTTTCTAGATGTCAAAGGAAAACCCTGTGAGGACCACTGTATACTCCAACACTCTAACCGGTAAGCAAATTGGGAATTTTAAATGATCAAAAAAATTTTTTTTCTGTCATTGTAGCCTGGTATGGTCTTGTATTGAATAAATATTCATTAAATGATTATCTTCCACTGTACTGAGATGGTATTATTTATAGTAGGAGTTTGGTTGACAAGAATGAGTCTTTCAGTGCCTACGCTAAAGAAATAAACTTGCTTACCCAAACATCCAAATGGAGGACCACACCCTCAGTCGGCTACTACCTCAAGAAACCAGCCTGTGCCTAACCACTGAAGTGGCCAAGCCCGTGGAGAGGGCTAGGGTAGAAGCACAGGTGGTATCCTGTCCATACCGGCATGCCTTACTTTTCTCTCTTCCTCCTCCGTGCTGTCTAAACACCTGTGGTACGCTTCCCTTTTGGGAAAGGAAATTCAGTCCCATTTTCCCCATTTTTATTACTGCATTCTTCTCTTCAGGTAAGCTCCAATAGTAGCCAGAGGAAAATGGGGGGGAAATGATAGGCTGACTAAACAAATGTCAGCTCAGCTCTTCTTGTGCCAGTAGGAATACGGTGTTATAGGAGGAAGAATCATACCAAGCAATAATACAGGATCAATTTTTGCTCCTCGTAGAATATGTGTCATCACACTGGCAGGATCCCATCCAGTTCTTCAAAGTGGAAAAGTAATTAAAAGCATTTCCTATCAAATCAGTACCAACTGTAGCAGGCTTCAGAACAAAGTCTCTGGGAAATTTAAGCGGGTATGTTCCTGTATTTCTCTACTTAAATCCTCTATTGTCATAATAATGATAGAGCCAGCCAGTCTTAGAACCCAGTAATGTATGCTCAGCATACTTCCCTGGCAGTTAGAGATGATTTTTAAGAATACTTAAGCTCTAAAGAAATTCTCAGGCCAAAAAAATGAGGTATTTCAGAAGGTATATTATCTGTCATATTACCTTCTGGGCCACCATCCCTGTCATCCCCAGGATGAAGGATGGAGAAGGTGGGCCTTTGAAAGAACAACACTAATACCAATATAACAAGATATTTTGTCCCTTCCTGTTTTAAGCCAGTATTGCAAATTCTATAAAATTTAGATGATCAATACCTCTTTATCATAAATTTTCACATGTGAACTTAAAAGTAACATAAAGTCCTGAGGTAGTGAAAAAAAAATCGATCTGAGAAAATATACAGTATTTGCTTCGTATCAGTTGCCATTCCTAAATCACTGCTGATTTAATACACATCTAGCTACACCCTCTACCTCCACATAGTGTTTAGTTATAGAAAATGTTACCTGTGCCCTCTACAATTCTAGGCAAGATGAACATTTTACTGTTAAAGGAGGGTATCACACCAAGGACAACTCAATACCATTACTAAACTATCCTGACAAACCCCCTGGAAAGGAAAGTTTCAGTGGATGATTTAGGTCCTTCATTTACTGAGTTCATACTAAGAGTTTCTGCTAATTACCTCACTGTTCTGGAAGACCCTTGTTTATACTCCCCTTTGTAGGCCTGAAGGCCCCTAATAACCTGCCTTATAATTACTGATTTTTCCTCACTCAGGAAGCAAGTGGACTTTAAAGAGCATGGACCATTCTTAAAAGTCTACAAATTACAAGTAAAACAGTTAGTGCTTGTGATGTTCCTGTGATCAATCTTTGTCCAAAATAGTAACACTGTTGTTACTACTGAGTAACAGAGAGGGACCTGCACATGGAACCCACTGTAGATAAGCTTTGATTGCATCTCAGCACTGCCCATCATTTATTCTCCCAAGGGAGGTGACCAAAAGGGGTTAAAACACTTCTTTCTGACACAGAGCCAGTGGAAGACAAACCATCTGGGACAAATCCCCATCCCCTCCTCCCAAAAGTGGGGAGTCACACTGACTAGTCTTTTGAAACGAAGTACCCACAGGCAGAGGAGTGAAGCTCATGCAGTAACACCTGAATGCTGTCTAATAATGTTGTGAGTGGGAAAGAGGCCATAAAGAACAGCATCTTGACCTCAGATGTTCACTGCAGTAAAAATTCCTGGGAAAAAAGAGCAACACATGAGACATGCTTGCATCCATTTCCCATGAGCCTCCCTGTACTGGGTTGGCCAAAAAGTTCGCTCCGGTTTTTCATGTTAGGGAAAAACCTGCATGAACTTGGTGGCCGACTCGATAGATATTTGTCAGAACCTCCCCAGATATATCCATACAGTGGAGTACATGAAAGTATAACCGTGCCACAACATTCAAACAGACATATGTCAAAGCGTAGTATTTGCTAGCGGGTTATAGGATAATGGGTAAGTGACTCTATATGCTACTTAAAACTTTTCTGTTTTCCAAAGTTTCCTCAAATTGCTTTTTTTAAAATTAGAAAAATATCCTTTCTTCAGAAAGTCTTAGTGATGGACCTAATAAAGAAGTTCCTTTCTCTATTAACTTCTGATATAAAAATAAGGTAGGAATCTTAATGAAAGTAACTGTGCAATATTGCTGTCATTCTCTATAATGTTGAATTTTGTATTATTGCTTATTGATGAGATTTTCCTACCCTTTTGAAATCTTTACACTTGGCTATGTGCAGCTTTCTCATGTACAGTTAAATATAAAGTATAATAAGTTAAGATAAAATATATTCTTAATATGTAACTAAACTACCTATTATCACATTTGTCTTAGTCTGCTTTTTCCCCTAGAGCCTAGGATGGTGCCTAGCCCATAGAGGCATTTAATATATAAATATTTGAATAAGTGAATGGTTTTTCTGTACTTAAGTCATTTTTATTTAAAACACTAATTCCAGGAATATATCCTGTTGTAACTCTGAGGGCTGCCTCACAAAGAAAAGTGAAAATGTACATCAATTAATTTTTTCTTCCCTTTTATTATCAGGGGGCACAGTTTCTAACAGAGCTTGCACCTCTGTGTAAGATTTACTGCTCTGATGGAGAAGAATACACCATATCTAGGTAAGTTACTTTTTAACCACAATTTTGGAGAAACAAAGAAGATAATATTTTTCTTCAAAGCAATATCTTCTTTAAATAGCTGTGTTAGAGGACGGTTGATGGAAGTGAATGAAAACATTCTCCATAAGCCATCTCTTCTTCAACAGAAGGTAAAAGAGTCTGGGGAAGTAAGATCCCATCCACACACGTTTTATCTGATCTTTTACCATTTGACAGTATTAAATATTCTATTTCCCTTCTAGCCATCCACCGAAGGATACATTGCAGTTGTGTTGCCCAAGTTTGAAGAAAGTAAAAGCATAACAGAAGGGTTACTGACACAAAAGCAGTATGAAGAAGTCGTGGTGAAACGCATCAATGCCACAACAGCGACCTCATGAGGATTAAGATTGAGTAAAAACATCAGGGCATTCATATCCTTACCTGGCCTACCAGTCAGTGCACTAAGGAAGAACCAGAGATGCTGAAGCATACTTCACACCCGGCCATCCGCAGGGAGGCCTGATCTTAAAACCTGACCTAGGTTTCCTTCTTTGTCTTGCATAACAAGCCTTGATTCCATTTTGTCTTCAGCCTCCCAGATCTGCCTGCCCATGTACTCACTCTGTTCTTTTGCTTTTCTCTTTCTAACAACTGGCAAGCGACAGACGTTTTTCTGATTAAAAACCAACAAAGCACTTTGAGGAAAATTTGAAAAGGCAGAAAAGTAAAAATAATTTACCCATCATCCTGTAACCCGTTAGTAAATACTAGGTTTTGATGTGATTCTGTTTGAATATTATGGCATGGTTATTGTTTTTGCCTCAATTTTCACTTTGAAGTTGAAAAACAACAACCGGCCTTTCTTATCCCATCTGCTTCAGTGTGACACGACCAAAACGTCTGGTCCCACCCCTTCTGCCCCAACTCCCCCGCTCAGGTTACTGGGAAGTGGCAGGGTGTAGAGTGTACCTTCTCTATGTCTATGGGTTGGCCTTCAACTCTGAACAAAGTAGCACTGTAACACTGGTTTCTTAATGAGGGACACATGAAGAGGCTTTGAAAGGGGCTTTGCTAACATGGATGTATCAATATTATAATGCTGTATGAAGTAACATGTGCATTTGTGGTCTCTCAGTCTCACACTCTAGTTACAGGGTAACCAGCAAAGAAGTTCCCGAGAGGTTCCTGGAATTTGAAGACACAGATGCTTTTGAACAGAACAAAAGCTTTCACATCATTTAAACAATAAATGAAAAACTATGAATTTATGGTTTAAAATTGTATACTTGTTTACATTGAATTTCAAATAAAAGGACTTTCCACATTGGTATTTTTCCTTAAGGGCTGCAACATATACATACATATAAACATTTCTGTTTTTAAATAAAACAATTATCCTTGAGTATAAATTCTTTTAGTTCTCCATCATCTTTTGCTGTTCAAGTCGTGTTATCCCTTCCCTACCCCTACTTGCATTTAAATAAGAGAATATTCTCATTTGAGTTATGTAAAATATTTTGTAAATAAAATTTTAAAGTTATTTTTGACTCACAAGGAAACTTCTTTTAACCCTAGCTCTCCCCTAAGTATACCCACTGGACATGATACAGGTAGTAACTATAGAAACATCTACTCTAATAGTGCTATGAGCTGAAAGTGTAAGCACAAACCAGCAAATTCCCATTTCAGGTAGCACAAATGGTTCCCAAAGGTGTCATAAAACAAAGACACTAAAGATAGTAAAAGAATTATATATCTATTTTACATATAACATTACCTCACATCATTTTCCCATTATTTCCATTGTAATTTAAAAGAGTATTTTGGTTTCAGGGCATAAAAATCATGTTTGATGATTTTTATAGAGAAATATTTTATAAAGGTCATAACCAAGCTGAGTGCATCCCATTTTCTCTCCAAGGCCTACAGTAAATTCAAGTTTCCTTCAATAAAATATTGACTAGCTAATTGGTAGTTCTTCAGGATCTTGTGAACATTGACTGTGATGGCTGACCCAGATACCGATCATCAGAGGAGCCTACAGAGCTACTGCCATTTGGCAACTGACATGTCCCGTGAGATTTCAAAATAAATTTCAGAGCACTGGGATACAAGCACAAAAAACAAAGTTAACTATACTACACCATAAGGACAGAACTTATAACCAGATCCTTCAATCAAAACCCACCCCACAAAAACAAAAGCTTTAAACCCTAAAATTAAAAAGACTAAATTCATTTATTTAATGAATATTCCAAAGGCACATATTTATACTTACTCAAATTATTTTGAACAGCTTAGTTCAGTTGTTCTCTGTCTTCTATCTTCTGTTCCATCAGTTACTACTGAGATGTACAAAAACTGCTTTTTAAGCCAGTAAAATAAGCTTAGGATTCCAGCTAATATTCAGGGCAGACTGGTGAGCTAAGCTAGAACGAGAACTAAAACCATCTAGTGAGTTCCTCCAGGATTCGGTGGAGAGAGTGACATGCATCACAACAGATTTCCTGTGCTCTGTGAAACCCTTACTAGAGAACAAATGTGCTCCTGGCATGGATGATCTGTGACAGAGGGGACAGCGGAGGCCCAGTCATACTCAGTGGACAGAGGGATTGAAGAAGAGTCCACAGGTTTAAGGAAAACCCTGTATCACCCAGATTACTGTGTCTCTTCTGCTGCAAATTAGTGTCCCAGATGATAAGCTTAAATTTAAAAAAATAGGAAGTTAGGGTCAAATGTGCCAAAGGTGAGCATATATTCAAAATAGCTTCTTTGGATTAAACTGTCATTAAGACAGTAGGGATATTTGGTTTGACTTTTAAGGAACATTATTCATGGCAATGTCCCATTTAAAATCACACTGCAATTAGAAATATAGCAACTACCATGGCATTTACAGTTGTCAGAAAGCTTCACAATCAGTTTCATGATCAGAAAATAAAGCAAGATTTCAGTTTGTTTTCTTTACAAAATGTTTGTATTTCTGAAATATAAAGGATCGTTTTCTTTCTAAAAATGTTAGCTTTGCCACATGGTGTTCCAGAGATCTGACCTCAAAAGCTTCTCAAGTTTTACCGTCCACAGAATCTTTATTTTTAACTGAGACTCTGTTGTTTTCCGTTTGAAGCTGGAAACAATTAAGAAAATTAGTTTCTGCTTTACTTTACTCTTAAAATAATTGCAAAATTAAATAGTATCTATTTTCTTTTGCATTTTCCTTTAGACTAATTTTTTAAATGTGCGTTTAAGATACACAAATTATCTTACCTTCTTCAGCAGTTTATAGCAAAGTGAGAGAAGTTGGACCAAAGTAGCCATTATGCATCTTGTCTTTGTAATACTCTTATCAACCTATAGTGACAGAAAGCAAGCAAATCAAATTCTTATAAGGAGGCCTTCAAAAGACTTTATCATTTAGTTTGAAAATGGTAAAAATTTCTTCATTATAGAAATCTAAGGGATCTCAAAGGGTATACAGATTAAGGCATCTGAGCTGACTTGATGACCTGAGGTCCCAGAACACAGAAGCAGGGATTGTTGCCCAAGTCTCATGCCAATTTCATGGACCCCAGGAAGAATGGATGGAAAATCAACCTGTTCTATTTCAGACGGCTTAGGGGCTTCTCAAAGGGCACCAAATAGTGGCAGTGAATCCCCTTCTTTGCAATTCTTTGCACTCTACTTTTTTGCACTCAAACTCCCTAAAACAAACAACAGAAGCCCTTCACTCTGAGGGGTCTGCGCCCTAGTTAGTCAGGTGGTGATGTTGGGATTTGAGGGTAGCTGCTCCGTGTTATGGTATTAATCATGTCCAAAAAGCTAATTTACTTGGTGAACCTACTACTTCCTGGGGTCAGTTACAACTGCAGCTGATAAATGGTTCTTGCAGTCAAGGCAGGAAAAATGGAAATAAATGGTTCTTCTGTGGGTATGAACACTTTATTTGAAGAAAAAGGGGCTGGAAGCTAACCTAATAAAAAAAGAAGTGTGAAAGTTTCTCAAGCGCTTTCCTGAATGTCCCACCCTCCCTTTTACCTTTAGAAACACTTGATTCTGCAAAGGTGTCTTAGTTACTGCCTGGAGCTGGTGGCACAGAGGAACAAGCTTGTTTATTTCCAGGAGAAGCATAAGCTTATCATCATCTTTCAGCTGAAATGTAAATAAGGAAGTTATAACAACTCCAATGAAATTCCATCTTTTAAACCTTAAATACCTTTATACCTTAATAATATAGCCTCAAAGTGGGTATTTATGACATCACCACCAGCACCAGGCAAGGATACGTGCATTACCTGTTTTGAGAAAGCTTGCACACTTGAAGCAAGCTTCAAGCCCTCTTCAGCAAAAACCTGGTAGAAAGGAAAAACATCACTACGTTAGGCGTATGTCATCTAGATAGTTGGTAAGAAATACACTCATGGATAATTTTCATACAGAATTTAAAAAATAAAACCTAAACATAAAAGGTCTGTCATGGAACTTCTATGTTTTTTGTTGTATCCAGGAAAACACAAGAGTTTAACAGTATTCAGAAGCAGATTTCCCAGACCTGATGCAGAATCAGTCCCTGCAGTGGCTCCCCTACACCGGGACACCTCCAATTACTGTGCAGGAACACGGACATTTGATACTTAGCCATAAAAATTATGCCTGGGCTTTTAGATGGATCCGAAGCTCGTCTTATAATATCCCCAATTATAAGAGGGTGTTGAATCTTGGAACATGGGGTCAAAAGGGTTAGATGAGGTCAAAAGCGTCAGAACATCCCTGCTTCCAGCTCAGCAGGATTGAATTTGTCACCTATACACATTCTTCAACTAGCCATTTGAGGGGATTATTTTTTCCCTATTGACCATACATTGTACAATTTAGTGAGGAGAAGAGGATGATGGGAAAGAATACTGAAAAATACTTTAGAATATTCGGGATGATTATTTTTAAATGGTACACAGAATCTTTTAGAGTGAGAGATACCAGGGAAGTGAAGACTGAGCTTCCGGTGGCAGCAGGAAGAATGAAAAGAACAGGGCAAATTTGAGAGTGATTTGTGAAGAAAAACAACAGATCTTGGCAATAAATTAGATAAAGCATATGAAGATGCAGAACAGGGAGGCAAATAATTTCAGGGTTAAATTTAACTCTCTTTCCAACAGTCTTGCTATCATTGGATAAACTGATCTCAAGGTCAAATAGTCCTTCGCATCCTTCCCTATCCTTTAAAAGGGAAAACAATGTGGGCTTCTCATTGCCGTGGCTTCTCTTGTTGAGGAGCATGGGCGCTAGGCTCGTGGGCTTCAGTAGTTGTGGCTCGCGGGTTCTAGAGCACAGGCTCAGTAGTTGTGGCTCATGGGCTTAGTTGTTCCACAGCATGTGGGATCCTCCCAGACCAGGGCTAGAACCCGCCTGCATTGGCAAGCAGATTTTTAACCACTGAGCCACGAGGGAAGCCTCTATTCCAACTTTTTAAAAAGGGAAAAACTCACTTATAGTCAACTTTACAGAAAATTCCAAATGAACTATTTTCTATAATTCTGCTGACTCTGTTGACAATCATCCTCTCAAGCTGAAATCCCTTCCCTGAAGAGGCTCAGGTGAAAGCACATGGGAATGCCAAAGGAAAATAAGTAAAATTGATAAAGTGATAGAATTTTCAAATTTCAAATGCAAGAATGCCCTTGGTTCTAGAGAAGCAAACAGACTAACATGA